CCCCAAAACCCCAAAACCCCAAAACCCCACCACAAAGTTTCAATATCTTCGATCTAAATGATTAGTAATTAAATTATTAATTTTCTAAGATCTAAAAATGGGATAACTATTTAGCAGAAATAGAAACTTAAACAACTTTAAGTTTGATAAAAAGCAAGCACCAGAATACGATGCTGCTAATCCATATCATGTTGAAAGGAACACACTTGCAAAGATTTTCATGTTTGATCTTAATCTTGGTAAAAACCCTGTCTTAACTATAGCAAAGAGATTTGCTAGAGAAAATACTAATGATAATTGCGATAATCTTAACATTGCAATGTCAGATATTGTATTATTAGAGTTCAAGAAATATCTATTTCTCTGCAAAATTGAGATCCAAAAAAATCAGGAGAAATATCAGTTTCTTTTTAAGGGTCAAAAATATTATAGGTCTCCTTTTCCAGCTCCATATTTCATAAGAAAAGCATTGAACTTAGTTATTCTCTACACAGAACATTACGAGAAACTTTGTGACGAAATCTTTGGAGGATGGATGGATATTTACCAATCAGAGTCTATTATTCAAGAATATGAAGATCATTAAAGAATGATGAATTTGCTGAAATCAAAGGATAGTCTATTATTCCCATTCAAAAATATCTGGCCAGAGTATAAAACACTCGAGGAATTTAAAAGAGATCAAAAATATGTAGAAGTTCACATGAGTATGCATAATAGACATTTACTGAAAGATTATCTACTAGTAAGGTGCCAAGAAATCTTGATTAGCGAAAATTACACGCCAGACATTCCTTTTAGTACAATCACTGAGAAATATACACCTATTCTCATAGATGAAATATAACAGAAATTTCCAAGTTCTCATGTTAAATCTATAAACGATAGAATTGAAATAAAAATCAGCCCTGAATTACAGCATAAATTAGATACTAAAAAGATAAATGAGAGTGACAACGAATATAATTTGGATAAACTCAATAAAATATAATTCTCTTTAAGATTCAAAGATGAGTTTAAAGTTAAGTTACAGATAGATGATGAAACCTGCGAATACTATTTGGCTGAATACAAAAAATTTCTTCTAATGGGAAGATACAGCCCTAGAATGATATCCCCTAGTGAGTAAGTGGATCATGTGTGGCACCACCATTAAATATTTACCAAATAATACAGAGAAGATATGTTTGAACTTTATGGAAGACTTTTAAAGCATCTCCCAGCTATGGGTGGAAAAGAAGATAGCGAAAAGTTTGATGATCTTTACCAGAAGACTTTGGATTTCTATAATGATATGTATGGATACAAGCCTGATCCTCTAATGTGGGAACCTTCAGAGCTAAGGTTTTCAAGTGAGCTTTTTACATACTCAATGGTGAATCTCAACAGAGTAATTTCTCTCTCACTTTATAGAGCTTTTAATCCACTTCCAATCAGAGATTTAGAAGAAAAAGTTCAGTTATTGGATAAATTTGATGCTAAATATGCAACTATTAGAAGAACTAATTATGTAAATAATAGAAGGTAAATAAGGCATTACCTCAAGCATCAAATAAAACTAAAGAATGATTATTAAGTTTTTGAGCTTATGGAGATTCGTGGTGGTCCAATTATTATGCCATTCAATAACAATCCAGAATATTTAGATCAAATAGCAAAGTAGTAGCTAGATTATACTTTATAAAATGGACTTTATTCTGATTATAGACCTGAATCCAACAACTTAAGTCAAGATATTGAGCTAATGTAGTTTGGTGCATAAGAAGTTATGGAGAGACTAGTTGATCTAGGAATAGGAGATTTTGATGTTGAGGGTGATGATTATACAAGCTATGATATGATTCCCTTGAGGATGGAGATTAATATTGGGAAATTAGGAAATGGACTTCAAGATTACAATGGATCTGAGGAAAATTAAACTTGATTTTTAATTATGATTTATTTATTAAATAAGATAGATATTTTGCAAATAATCTATTTCCCGAATGGGGTTTTGGGGTTTTGGGGTTTTGGGG